ATTAAGGTGTCTGTGGAGCCTAGGTAGCCAGCAGAAAGATAGGGAGTGGAGACAACTTGGGGAACGGCCATTGTTTAAATCGGAAACCCGAGTGAAAGGTAGAGTGTTATCAAGGGAAGAGGCTGACAAAGTGTGGGTGGTAAGGTGGGGGACATGAGTGGGCATGGTACTTGGCAATTAAGGCTACCTTCTTATCCCTCTCCCCATCCAGGGCATTCATTTCTTCCTTTCTGCTTGGTCATTCATGCCGTCTTGGGAGCAAGGAAAGTGAGAATGAGGATTTTTAAAAAATCCTAGTTTGGGGTCTGTTCTTCCTAGTTTTAACCAGCACGCTGAGCCTGTTAGGTGTTTGTGAGATCTTAAGAATTCATCTAGTCCAATCCTTGCAATTTGTGGATGGGAAAATAGATACCCTGAGAGTAAATGGAAATTGTCAGGGATCATCCAGTAAGTCACTGATGCAGCTGTACTGGGGTCTGGGAATCCCCACTCTTATTTGGGGTTCTTTACGTTAGCATCTTTCTGCAGGGCAACACAAGATACTTTACCCTGCAGGTATATCCTTGAGAGTGGCTTGGCAGATCACATGTGAACTCCTGTCTTCTTGGTTGGTTTCAGAAAGTATAAACAAGCTGGTAGGAAGGTAACCCAGCTGCCTCTTGGGTTCTTGTAAAAAGGGTTGTGTTTTTTAGCATCTCTAGAACCAAAGAGTAGTGTAGGGAAGGGGGGGGGGTGCTGAAGGAGGAAGAACCCAGTGATGGGTTGTGAGTTTTCTGTACCTTGGGATCTCCCAGAGGTCTTGTCCTAGGATTGGAGAGTTGAGTCTCTAAGCCTAGTAGGTCTTGTGGGAAAGAGTGGACTCTCTAAGGATCTTCATTGCTTGAAAGTTTCAAGGCTTGTGAAAATGAGCCATTAAGCTCTCTGTTGTCCAGTTTTCCCAGTCAGAATTATTTGGGGGCTGGGTAGATGGCTCAGTCAATAAAGTGCCTGCTGCACAAGCATGAGGACCTGAGTTCAGATCCCCTGATCCTAGGCTTAGCAGCATAGGTCTGTAACACCCGTGCTGGAGTAGGGAGCAGGAATGGAGACACACCCATTCCTAGAACTCAGCCTAACTAAATCAGTGAGCTTCAGGTCAGTGAGGGACCCTGGCTCAAAATTTATGGTGGAAAGCAATCAAGGGAAAAAAAAATAATGTTGATTTCTGGCCTCTGGATACACACGCACACACCAGTATACACCCACAGGAACATATATATGCACAAAGTACACAGACAAATTTAAAACCAAAATCTCTTGGGCTTTGTTAATTATCCACTTCTGTCCCTCCTAAGGTCAGCTGAATTGGACTGAGATTGTGTATTGGTGCCAGTTACCCCAGGAAGTTGTGTTGATAGGATTGAAGTGCATTGTACAAGCTGACCACAAATGTAGTTCTAGAGCAGAGGACCTGCTCACCTCAGGGCATATTGGGAGGTCAGAGCTGAGACAGCAGCAGTCTTGTTAAGAACTGGTTCTGCAAGACCCCTGGCCTCCAAAGGGGGGGGGTTATAGCTTGGATTTGGGGCATAGTTTTTTTGAGTTTGAGGCTCTCCTTCATTGATTGAGCTCCTTGGTTGTCAGAGAGTCTAAGGATGAGGTTCTGTTGAGACCTGCCTGTTGGTGCAAAAGTTAGTTGGTTCAAGGAGAATAGGAAAGGCTAAGGAAATAGGTGCCAAGATGGGGAAGACAGCCGAGTTGTAGGCTTTGTTGCCTAGCCAAATCGTTTGACCTTATTTTGTGCAAGGCCACACAGCTTTCACCACAAAGGTGATATGATCAGAGCCATGTCTCAGAAGAAAATGAACGAATGGGAACAGGTCCTGTGATGAAGGACAGAGAGATAAGATAGAGGAGATTCCCAGGTAGGGGAGCAGGCTCACAGTTTCCTTTGCTAGAGGAAGGTGAACTACATTGTTTTTGTGAACAGGACAGATTGGGGCCTGCACAGGGGTGGACAGGGGTAGTGGCTCCCACTCCAATTTCAGGTGACTCTGATCCCAGTTAGTGTCTCTCCCATGGTGGGTTCCTTCCTGTGTTCTAGTGCCTGGTTTGTTCACATGTGAAGCTGGCCACAGCACAGTAAAAGTTCCCCCCAATGACAACATTATTTCAGTGGTGATGTAGACTTAAGAAATGGTGAGTTAGTGAACTGCAAGGAGTTTCTTGACAGCACATTTTTTTCAGTGCCTTTGGGTGTGGCTCCCCTCCCGGCTTGTCCTGGGCATAGTTCTCCACTGAGCATCTTGCTGGGGCTCATGTCTCAGGAACCTGTTTTGAGGACCTCTGAGGATGGTGGAGCACTATGAGCCTGGGCTTGCAGTCTTGGGTCTCTGCCTGATTCCCTGTGTGTGCCTGGATCACTTTGTGCACTCCACAGGCTCCTTCCCTCTGTTCCTGACCACCATGTCAGAATCTGCTGGCTGCCTTTCCTAGTCTTCTGAGCCAAGCACTTCTTATTGGCCCATTTCTCTGACCAGAGGACAGAAACTCTGGAGCCATCTTGACCTTGCCTTTTGGTTCATATACTTCACCTGCAACTATTATGAAGTTTGTTTGTTTGTTTTTCGAGACAGGGTTTCTCTGTAGCTTTGGAACCTGTCCTGGAACTCTCTCTGCAGGCTGGCCTGGAACTCACAGACATCTGCCTGCCTCTGTCTCCCCAGTGCCATCACAGCTTGGGGTTTCTTGTTGTTGTTTTCTTCTTTTTTAGTGTTCTTCCCAGCTGTTGCTTTTGTTTCTCCTCCTTTTCTTCTGGAGTCTCATTGCCTCCACCCTTCTCCATGCTTGTCCCCACACACTACACTCCTTCTTTCTTTTCTCTAGGTAGATTGTTTTTATTTTCTAGTTACCCTTTTTTTCCTCCCGTCTAGTTAGGTTTTATTTATTTTGGGTTCCCCCCACCCCCACCCCTGTGACACAGTTTTTCTGTATAACCACCCTGGCTGTCCTGGAATTTATTTGTAAACCAGGTTGGCTTCAAACTCAGACATAGGCCTACCTCCGCCTCCCTGAGTGCTGGGAATAAAGGGCACCACCACACCCTGATTAGATTAAGTTTAGAAAGAGTCATGCTAGTCCTTTGTCTAAAAGCACACAGATGACAAGTGGCAGAGCTAGGTCTCAAGCTCAGGATTTCTGAGACAGTGCTTTCTCATCTATGCTCACTGGTTTATACTGCAACAGTCAAGTGGTCTGAGCAGAAATTGATTCGTTTCCAGTGCAACCCAAGGGGGAGAGGGTCTCTTGGGTTGGGAGTGTTCCATAGGTAACAGACTGTCTGGGTTTGCTCAGAACTAGGAGTTCCTGGAACAAGGGGATCCTGAGGTGATTGGCCACACTAGCGCTGGGCATGGATACCCTTTCTGCAGTGCCCTGTGTGCTCCCTCCAGGTCTGTGGCATGGTGGGTCCTGCAGCTGGCTAACATCTTCGTTCCACCTCTCTAGTTGGCCCCATGGTGATTGACTTTAATATTGCTGTGGACCTGGAGCTTTTGGCAAAGAAGAACCCAGAGATAAAGATGGGCGGTCGTTATTCCCCCAAGGACTGTATTTCTCCTCACAAGGTGGCCATCATTATCCCATTTCGCAACCGGCAGGAGCACCTCAAATATTGGCTGTATTATTTGCATCCGGTCCTACAGCGCCAGCAACTGGACTATGGTATCTACGTCATCAACCAGGTGAGGTTTGGGAAGACGGGATGAGGGAGGTGGAACTCGGGTACACAAATGCGTGCTCAGTTAATACTAAGGAAGGGAGTTAGTTAATACTAAGGAAGGGAGTGATTTCATAGACAACCTGGCATGTTACAGTGAAGTGCCAACCCTGCCACTGCTCCTGTCCTTACTTAAACTGTGCAGTGAGCTGAGTGCCAAATGGTATGCTTGCTTATTGATAATCAGCTCTGTTAGCCAAGGGAAATAGGAAGGATGTGTTTGGGTTTTGGAAGTAACCTGCCAGCAAAAATGAAAGGAAAAAAAAAAAAGACACCTCCAGTTATCACTGATTATCATTTTAAGGTAACTGTATATTTTTCTTCCTACTTTATTAAAAAAAATCCAAAAACAATAATCTATTTTTGTGTCAGATTTTTGGATAACTTTGAAATTGATCCAGCCGGACAGTATCTTTCTTCCAGGGCATCCATAAGAGACCATATACCAAGTTGAGGCTATATGTATCTGTGGCTAGCCCTGAGTCAAAGTCTGGGGAAATCCTATTCAGGAGCCTCAGAGAGTGATGCTGAGTTTCCCACTGCATATCAGATTACGTGTGTCAAGCTGTCATCTGCTTAGGACACGAATGATGAAGACTCTCCAGCCTCTGTCACCGGAACCAGGAGACTCAGGCAGATCTAAGAACCTGTTTAAAGGCTGTTTTGAGACAGGGTCTCACTATGGAGCCCTGGCTGTCCTGGAACTCGCACTGTAGATCAGGATGGCCTCAAACTCAGAGATGTATCTGCCTGCCTCTGCCTTCTGGGAGCTGAAATTAGAGGCATGAACCAAGAACTGTTTTTTCTTTCGAGACAGGGTTTTTCTGTGGCGTTGGAGGCTGTGCTGGAACTCGCTCTAGGCTGGCCTCAAACTCACAGAAATCCACCTGCCTCTGCCTCCCGAGTACTGGAATTAAAGGCGTGTGCCATCAATGCCCGGTGAATTATTTTTAAAAAATGATTTATTTAACTTTATTTTATGTGCATTGGTGTGAAGGTATCAGATCCCCAGGAACTATAGTTACAGACAGTTGTGAGCTGCCATTTGGGTGCTGGGTATTGAACCCAGGTCCTCTGGAAGAGCGGTCAGTGCTCTTTACACTAAGCCATCTCTCCAGCCCCATACTTTTTAAAAAAATAAATAAAAATAAAGAGCTTTGCTTATTTTAGTATGCTTAATGAGTGTTATAACTTTGATGTTTCAGGTTTATCCCCAACACTTAAATTCATGTTTATACTGTAATCTCCTAGGTGGGTTGACAGGCCTGATTTATCTGTGTGCCAGATTTCATGGAAATGTGCTTGAAGAGACAGTTTGCCCCTTTTTTTCAAGATCAACTTTGAGCCTGCTTGAGGTAGTAAGATTGCTGTTTTCTGCTTCCCTTTTGAGGGACTGCATGTTACTTCAGGGAAGCTTGGGTAGTTGTTTGCCCATCTAGCTGAGGGCTCCTATGGCATAATGCTGTCTCAGCTGCTACAGGGATGTTATAGTGTAAGATTCCGCCATCCTGAGGCTCCCAGCCCACTTTAGGCAGCTGAGACTTTGCTATGAAGCAATTTGTTAACAATGAAAAGTAGCTGTGAGTTGGGCCGGATGGTATATGCCTTTAATCCCAGCATCCAAGAAGCAGAGGCAGGCGGATCTCTTGTGAATTCCAGGCCAGCCTGGTCTACAGAGTGAGTTCCAGGATAGCCAGGGCTACACAGAGAAAACAAAACAAAAAAAATGTGATTGGATGATGACTGTCCAATGCTTTGGAAACTTAGAGAAAGGAGAGAAGGCTGTACCTTGCTAATCTAGTACAGGGGTTCCTAAATATGTGAGAAGGCAGATCTCATTGGTATAGAGCTTTCCATGTACCAGCACACTGTGACCTCCACAAGCTCTTCCTGGACTAGTCTAGACTTAGAGCTGTTTTCAAAGACATGTCTCCAGTGATGAGTGTTCTGTGAGTCACATTTTGGGGAAAACAACCCTAAGTCAGCCCCCTCTCTACTTCCTTCTACTCTCCCTGGGATACTAGGAACTCCTTTCTCTTGTTCCCCACTAGTATCTTATTAGCAGAAAAAGAATCTTTTTAGGAGTTGGGGTGTAGCTCAATGGTAGAATGCCTGCCAAGCATTCAAGTGCTCTTATCTTTGAGCTCCAGCACTGAAAAAAAAAAAAAAAAAAAAAAAAAAAAAAAAAAAAAAAACAAAACACGAGTGCTTCCCCTTTGCTGTTTGCTAGGACTTGCCTAGACCTTAGAGGGCAGGGAGTATGCTTTCTGCTGTTGTCACAGCTAGGAAGAGACTCAGAGGGTGGGAATAGCCAGCAGAGGTACATACTGGTCACCAAAAACAGTGGGCTGCAATTATACCCCAACCCAGACTCCAGGTTTATGCCCTCCTATTGGGTTACAGTAGCTCTTTTTGAGACCATTTAGCCTCTTCCTGGGGGTGTTTCTCAAAACCCTGTTATCCAGGGCTGGGAGCCATTTCCCAGTCAGTGATCCTGGGCAGGCCACATCAGCCTTAACAACTCAGTTCCCTCCAAGAAAGGAGAGAAAGTTAGTATTTCCTCACTGTGCTGTGAAGCACCTGTTGTGTGGCAAACCCTTGGTAAATATTAGCTATTATTGTCTTGATTTCTTTCCCCTCTCCTCTGTTCTTCCTGCCTCTTGCCTCTGCCTGGTATTTTGCAGATAAATTCTTTATTGTTCTTCCGGCCTCCTGCTTTTTTCCAACATAGTACTGATATCAGGGTCTTGCCTCCCACCTTTGTGACCTCTGTGGGGTCGGAAGATAACAAATAATGGTGTGAGTCATCCAACAGGCTCTCGGAAGACTCAGGTGCTGAGCCTTATAAACTTCAGAGAGGGTTGTGTCTTGAGTTCCACACACAGAAATGAACTCCCATGAGTTTTTATGGTTTATACTTCTATCTGTAGGAAGCTCTTGACTTTGTTCAATGTAGGCCCCCCAGCCACTTCGAAACTTAAAACTCAAAATAAGTATGCTGGAGGGGTATGGGAGGGACTTCCCAATTGTTGCAGAGGAACAAGTCCGGCTTTTGCTTTGGGTTTCTGTTTCTCCTCTTGCCATAGCATGTGTGGGTCCTGTTAGAGTCCCTGCACATCCTCTTTAGTGCAATGGTCCTACTGTGAGACAGATATCCAGCTAAGTCCAGCACTGGGATGGACTTTGATGTGGAAATGAGTGTCAAGATTCCATACAGCAAACAGGGAGGCATTCTGTCCCTCATACTTTAGTCAGGAAAAGACAAAGCCAGGTAATGGGAAGGCATTGACCTGATACCACCAACCTTAAATGAAAAAAGAGAGAGAGAGAGAGAAAGGAAGGAAGGAAGAAAGAAAGAAATGCAAAATGCTTTGGGGACTATCTATCATAAAAATTACATACTGAGTCATAACTGTGACAGTCCTTTGTCCCAGAATCAGCAACTAGGAGTGGTTTCTGCAGTTTCATTTATATTGCTTCTGACACCTTTGAACATTATTCTCACTCAGCTGCTCAAGATCTTTCTGCTTCTGACCATGTCACTAACTCTCTTTAAACCCTTCAACAATGTCCCCACTGCCTCCGGCAAGGGCCAGAGTGATGGGAAATCTTAGTGTGTGATACCATCTGGAGGCTGGTCCTGACCCACCTCCAACCGCTTCTTCCCATCACCCTTCACACAGTGCGCCCCGGGCAAGCTGCCTGTCATCTCACCAAGACACTTGCCCCCTTCTTGTGCCTTTACTTACACTGACCTCTCTGTCCATGGGCCTCCCCCACCACCCCACCACCCCACCTTTTCTGGATATGTTTTATGCTTCTTTCCTCTACCTTAGTAGCTCTGTGAAGCCCCTGGAGTAGAGGTGACTCCATTGTTCCTAATCCATTTGGTGGAAGGGGTAGTCATGCTTTTCAAGCCTCATCTTGGCCCTAGATTCCGAGTCACTGGGCAGACTTATTCCCACATCTCTGATCATGCAGCTCCTCCACAATCCAGTATAGACTCTATAGGGTTTGGAATATGGAGTATCTTTCCTTGTGTCCTGTCCATTTGTTTATACCCACACTCAGGATGTCTGCTCCTGGTTCTCTGACTGGGTCCATCCATCCCTGCTGGAAGCAAAGTCTCCTTTCCTAGCTTGGCCAGATCATGACCCTTACAAAACTGGCACTGTCCCTCCCTAGCATCCTTTCTTGTAGTCCCTGTCAATTGCTGACTAGGGCATGGACTGCCTGTGATCTGTCCCTTGGTATAGTCTTCCTTTTTGGGAAAGATACAGTGTACTTTAGCCCTGTGTTTATTCATGGTCATAAAATTCATTTTTGAAGCTTTGCATGGTGATGTACACCTTTAATCCCAACACTCACTCAGAAGGCACAGGCAGGCAGATCTCAGTGAGTTTGAGGCCAGGCTGGTCTACAAAATGAGTTCCAGGACAGCCAGGACTGTTACACAGAGAAACCCTGTCTCAGAAAAAACAAAAACAAAAAAACTCATTTTTGAGCCAGAAATGGTCAGTGATTCATACCTGTAATTGTAGTAAGAAAGAGGAGGATTGCAAGTTTGAGACCAACCTCACTACATAGTGTGTTCAAGGCTAGCCTGGGCTACATAGCAAGACCAAAACCAAAAGCAAAGTCTCTTGTGTTCCTTTGCATTTTGGCTTTCTCCAGTGAGGGCTTCTCATGTGCCCCTGATATGAAGGGTGCAAAGGTAAGCATACCATGGCCTGTAGCAGAGCTGGGGTTAGACAAAAGTGCTAAGGAGTATCCTGCTTGCTGTGTTTGTTTATAGAATGTACCACAGACACTTGCCCATGTGAGATGGGCAGCGGCTTAAGTGTAATAGCCACAGAGACCCCAGGAGCCTTCTCACTTGTTATGCTTCCAGGCAGACCTGGCTGAACAGGTTTTTAAGAAATCTGAAGAGCCCAGTCTGGGCTAGGATGGCAGATGGTGCTTTTG